CAACAGTCTGGTGGGAGCCGTTCACAGTGATGGGGAGGGGGCTTCTTCTGAGGAATGTCACAACAGAGCGAGCCACCCCCCGCCTGGAGACAGCCGTGCCTTTGGTATAGGAAGAGCGGCGGGGACAAACAGGGCAGGCGCCTCACGGCCTGGGTTTGGCGTTGGTCAACCTCCAGTCAGCACCAAGAGGACGAGGCGGCAGCGAGGCCCGCGTCGAGATAGCACCGGGACCGGCGGTCAGCGTGTCCGCGGGCGGGCCAGTCCTTCGGGTGGACGTCTTTATATAGATCCTCTCATATATAGTATTTACATTTCTCAATAGGTCGCCTTTACGACTCCGGTGGAGTAAAATAAGTCAGAATGTTTATACTTTTTAAAAAACGATAAATACTTTATCTAAAACTATCAACAGTACGAGCTGGAGCCAGGCCCCAGCATCTCCCGCAGGTGTGCGCAGCGCTGATTCACAGTAGAGCCTCGTCCCCTGTCCTCGGTCTGTCCCGCCGTCCCGTGGCCGCTGCCGCACCGCCGGCCCAGCCCGTGCGTGCATAGGTCTCACGGTTGAGGTAGAATCCTAGTTACCTGCGGAGACCAGCGCGGGAGGAAAGGCAGCATTAGCGTTCCGCTCGGGGGACCCGCACATTCCCCCAGGCCAGGGAGCCACACCTCCTACAGACAAATGGCGGCGCACGGTCAGACAGACAGGCTGTGGTCGCTGCAGGCCCCACCTCTGCTGGCAGGGACCGCCCCCACCCCAGCCCCGCCCCCCGCCCCCCGGTCCACACCCCCTGGCCCTCCTCCTCCCCAGGAGCCTTGGAGCCGAGGCCCTCCCGGGCCGCCGCCACCTGCCAGGCACTGCTCACAGTCCCGCCCCCCGGGCGGGGGGGGGGGGGACCGCGTGCGACAGCAGCAGTGCTCCACTGTGGGCCAGGACCGGAGCCTGCTGCCCAGACGCTTCCACGCGTACACCTCTGACCTCTTCGAAGCCAGTCTCGGCCGCACAAAACGCCTGCTCTGACAGCGTGAGGCCACCACACGCGAAGGCTGCTCTACCTTCTGGACTTTTCCAACAGGACTGAGGCACAAGCTCAGTCCGGGCTGTCTACCGACCTGCACTCTGACTGGGAGGGCATCAGACTCCAGCGGCCCCCGCCCCTCCCGTCTGTTTCCACTTAAACACGCGGCAGACGGTTGAGGACGGCCCGGCCCCAGCACCCTGTCAGCGCCCGGCTTCCTTTTCTCAAGTCCTCGCCTGGAAGGCCCCTCACCCCCAGGGACGCCAAGCAGCACCAGAAGCGGCCACGCCAGCTGCACCAGGGCCTGGCTTCCTAACGCGGGCACACGGCCGGCAGAGGAGCAGACGCAAGCCCTCCCCGAACAGGCCTCCCAGACACCTTCCTCACCCGTTTCCAAGCACGGGCCCTTCCTACACTGAACCTCCGCTGAACCTCCACTGACCGCCCCAAGGCAGGGGCCGCGTTCCTCCGAGCAGGAGGGGCTGTGTGCTGCGGCCACCAGCACAAAGCGCTGCCCACGACCTAGGCAGCCCCTTCCTCTCTGGCCGGTGCCACGCAGCCCCATACCCACTGGCTCCCAGGGCCTGCAGGCAGGGGGCTCCAGCTCAGGAGCCCGAGGCTCGAACGCCAAGTTTGGATGGCCGTCTACACACTGCCTTTTCCTTAAGACCTACAAAGCGCACCGGGGAGACAGGCTGCGGGAGGCCCAAGAGCAGACAGACGGCGAGGCTGAGCTCGGAACTGCCCCTGTGGCCGGGGGCCCATGGGGCTTGCCCTAAAGGTCTGGGCCGGGCAGCGAGAGCCGGCCACTCCCTCGAGCTCCGTGGCGGCTGCTCAGCCGTCCTGGAGGCTGGTACACACGGCCAGCCCCGGTTTCCCTGGCTTTCCCTTGCACCTCTCAGAACCGACCGTCTCCACCCGAGGCAGAACAGCCTGGGTCCCCTGGGCCCCTCCTCGGAGCCCTGCGGGCCCGTCCACTCTCTGTGGAAGGAAGGACAGACAGTTCAGGGTCTCATACGGGCCCCCTGGTTGGGCTCTAGCCTTACCTTACAGAATACGAACCGCTAGCTAAGCAAGGTCTTTATCTTGGCTTAACCCCCGCAAGGCGCGCGGCATACGGAGGCGGCATGCCAAGGGAAACCCACACGGCGGACGGCCCCGTGGAGCTGGCCTGTGGGATCACGGGCGCGGCCTGGGCCAGGGCCAGCCCGGGCAGGGGCTGGTGGTGCACCGTGAAGGAGGGGCGGGGGGCCTTGTGCGGGAGGGAGGCGAGCTTGATGGACAGAGAGGCGTTAGCAGGCTGCAGAGAGGCGGCAGAGGAGGCGGGTAAGAAAGCCTGGTTAGCCGGGAGGGACGCGAGGTTCTGCAGAAGCGCGGGCTCAGAGTTAGCCGGGAGCAGCGCGGGGGCGGGAGGCAAGGCGGCGTTAGGGGGAGGGGGCGCGGGGAGGGCAGGCTGCCCCGGTGGGGGCGGGGGCGGGGCGCCGGCCACCGCCTGCAGCGGGGTTAAGCTCAGCGT